TCAGGATGAGCAGGAATAGTTGATGATAGCAGCCTAGCTGTTAGCTATGCTGTGAAGTGGACTGCTGACGTCGAGCTGAATGGGCGGAGCTAAGTCCCGCTGGTCCCGCCTTACTGCTGTTGCTAGGTTGATCCGAAGTTGGGTTGAGACTGCAAATCCAATATGGATGCGGCCGTCGATTGGACTCATTTTCTGCCTATGTCACAGACGGGTCAGGGTTCGTCCAGTAATATTTACAGTCTATGCATGTATCTCTGGGAATCAGAATCAGAATTTCACCAAATTTGGAAAGGATGTTCACAGATAGTTATTAGTTACAATTATGTAAAGTTTTTATCAATACCATTTTACATTTTTGAATTTTTCACACTTAAACACACATGTAGTTTAGGCGGAAATTGAAAATTGAAACAAAAATTTAAAAGGTATGTATATCAAAGTCTGTCATTTTTTAAGTGAGGACACCAAACATTAAAATATGTCATTTTTATCTTCTTTAGACTGTTATCTCAACATAAAAGTAAGTTATTTGACTTTTTACTTGACCCTATGCTGTCACCAGCCCCTAACAGGAAACTAGTGCAGCCAGGATTTCAGGGCGACCTGGTACAATGGGGCCCTATGGATGTGTATGTGGGAGGAGGTGGCCACAAACAATAGATTAAGACTTAGCAAGACACAATATAATTGTATTCTGTAATATATATATAATTAAACATTTTATAGTTATTCCTAGTTATTTCCATTTTGTCTCATATTTTCTATCTTACATATGATTTATATGATGACACTCAGAGTCAACCTGCTGCTTTCAACAACATTGTCACCTATGACACTGTTTCTATTTCATTCTGAAAAAATAAAGCATTGATATATTATACATATTGATATATATAACCTTGAGTTCTTAGAAATTAAATATACTTCATATAGTGTATTTGTATATCGGCTATACAGCCTGTTGTAGTTTTTTAATGTATTTCAGTCATATAAAGATGGTCTGTGGTCACCATATCTCCTGCTTTTAAGATGAACCCTAGTTACTCCAGAGGATACACTGGATGAAGGGATAGTTTTTATAATACCCTAAGTATGATGAAGTGTTACTCTCTGATGTACGTTGCTTTGGATGAAAGTGTCTGCTATATAAATTGTAGAACTGTAGAAATGCATTCAACACAATCAAATACGGCAAAATAAAGGCAAGGCAACAAAAAGTAGACAATACTGACTGTAGTGGCAATCTAACAACAAAAGGTGCCACTGGAGGGAATTTTAAGTCATTTCCAACTCATGGTGGGTAAAAAATGGAATGTCCGCCGTTAATTATGTTTGCAGTATTTATTTATCAGCAGTCTTATAAACACCAACAAAAACACGAGTGTAGGCCTATTCTGCATCAGACAAAACTAAACATAGATAAAGTCTAAACGCGTCAGCCAACATCTTCACACACCTATGGTTGAAAAACTGTGTGGCTTCCACTAATTCCCTATCCCCATTCACCTGTGTCTCCCCTTTCTACCTACCTGTGGCTGTAATTACCAATTATGCCCAGGTGCGCAGGTGACGTTTGCAGCAGAAAACGTCCACACAACCAACCACACACACAAACCACAACACACATGAAATTGGCGACAACACACCGGCCCCTAATTGTTTCTGTATGATAACATAACAATTCAGCACAATATAAACAATGGAGCCAATGTCAGCTCCCCTGAGCAAGTGTCCAAATCTCTCCCCCCCTTCTTTTTTTTTTTTTTTTTTTTTTTTTAAGTCAGTCAGTCACTTTGATGTATTTGTCCTTTAAGAGAATTACAGTCTTTATTCAGCCTCCTGCAGAAGACAGATCTTGGTGATTGGCCTCTCCAGTACGTTGCATTTGGTCTGGACTTTAACAGATCGCACCAGTCCTTGTCCATCAGGAAAGGTCTGCAGCACCTTCCCCAACAACCAGGATCCACGAGGGGCAGTAGAGTCCACCACAATGATGATGTCTCCTGTGACAAAGCTTCTCCTGTCCTTTGACCATCGTTGCCGTTCCTGTAACAATGGCAAGTATTCCTGAAGCCATCTCCGCCAAAAGAGGTCTGCCAGAAATTGAACTTGCCTCCATCGTCGTTTGGTGTACAAGTCACCTTTTTCAAAAACCCCTGGCGGTAGAGCAGGTTTGCCTTTCAACAAGAGAATGTGATTTGGAGTCAAAGGTTCAAGATCATTTGGATCCTCAGAGATCTTGGTAATGGGCCGATCATTTAAAATAGCTTCGAGTCTGCAATCACTCATTGTCCACATTTTGCTGATGAAGAACTGAATTCAGCACCTTTCTGACCATGCGAATGATTCTTTCCCATGATCCACCATAATGTGATGCTGCAGGGGTGTTGAAGCTCCACTTCACTCCATCAGAAAGCAAAGAGTCTTGAATTTTCTTTTGATTCAGGGCAGATAGAGCCTCTCTCAGCTCCCGTTCTGCTCCCACAAAGTTAGTTCCGTTATCTGACCTGATGTGTGATACTTGTCCTCTTCTTGAAATGAACCTGCGTAGTGCATGAATGCAAGAACTGGTGTCTAATGAATATGCCATTTCCAAATGTACTGCCCTACTTGACATGCAGGTGAATATGACTCCATAACGTTTGATGAAGCTGCGGCCACGTTTTACTTCAAAAGGGCCAAAATAATCAACACCAACATTTGTAAATGGTGGAATGTCAGGTTGAAGTCTTTCTTTTGGCAAGTCAGCCATCTTTTGTTCACCCATCTTTCCCCTATAACGTCTGCAAACAACACAGGAAGAAAGGATCTTTCTGGCAGCTGCATTTGCACTGGTGATCCAATATCGCTGACGGAGTTTGGAAAGCAGGTGATTTCTTCCACAGTGCCCTAATTGCTCATGAATGTGACGTAAAATGAGAGTAGAAATGTGCTGATCTTTAGCCAGAATTACTGGATGGTTCATGTCAACAGGCACTGCTGCTTTGCTAAGCCGTCCTCCCACTCTCAAGAGCCCCTTTTCCAGCACTGGATCAAGTTTGTAAATGTGACTGCTTTTCTTCACACCAGATATTCCACCTTTCAAAGCAGTCATTTCATCACTGAACCTTTTCATTTGACAGCACTGAATGATGGCACTTTCAGCAGATTCAATGTCTTCAAGAGCCAGGGTTTGACCACCCAGTGTGGCTTTGAATCGCTGCATCTCCTTTTCCACTTTGCTCTTCTGTTGAGTCTGATCAAGTACAGTTCTGGTCACAGAAGCGTGGATTTCCTTTCTCTTATCACTCAACAACTGCAACATTTTTTTTAAATGGAGAAACCAAGCAACTGAGATCTTTAACCTTTTCCATGAGGAGAAATAGGTTATAAGCTGCTCTGTTGAGTTCTGTGCCTCCTCAGTGATTGTATTTGTTGCATCATTAATGACTATAGCATTAACTGTTGCTTCTCCTGAGCCTCCAGCTCATGTTTTTCCTTGAGGGTAGCTGCTTTAGCAAGAAGAGCAGCTCTTTCAGCCTCTGCTTTGAGCATCCTGTCTGCATAGCCATTATCGATGACATCACTGAGAAACCTGACATATTCTTCTTTAAATTCAACATTTTTCTTCAATTTCCTTTTCAGGCAGAGGACCCTATGCTCAGCAACATGACGGTTATTGGGCATGATGACATTAGTCTCTCTGAAGGGCAATTTCAAGCAGTAATGTCCGTTGTCGAGCTCTGCTGAACTGTTCATAATCTCCATAAACTTGAGATCCTCTCTGGATATTTCTGCCTTTTCCTCTGACTTTTCGTTGAAGTCATGGTTGTACTGCTTTATCAACAGTTCCTCTATGTTAGCAATGGATATATGGTTGGCTGTGATGGTGGGACAGCTGCTTCCACTTTCATTGCCTCCTCGTAGTGGTCCATTGATGACCCACCCCAGTAGGGTCCGAACAGCATAAGGTCCTTCACCATTGCTGTTTACCACTTCCCATGGTTCCAGTACCTTTGGAACGTTGGTCCCAATTAAAATCTCCACGTCAGCATCAATGACAGGAATTTCCACTGAATTTAAATGTGGCCAAGCACTCTTCCTGTCTTGGACTATTTTCACGAGTCACTGGCATGTTACACTGTGTGTACACATCAGGCAATTTAAAGTAGGTGTCACTATTGAGTGCAGCTACCTCCAATCCTGAGACAATATGACTGTCAACCAGATTTTCTTGATTTAATGTTCTCAACAGGATTTTGGCCTCCTGACCCTCCAGCTCATGTTTTTCCTTGAGGGTAGCTGCTTTAGCAAGAAGAGCAGCTCTTTCAGCCTCTGCTTGGAGACATGCAGAGGTGGCTGATGACCTTGAAGACCTGTGGCTGGAGCGGCCAGCTGATAAGTATGTTTTATCACCAACATTTGAGATGCTGTCACCTGGATCAATATCATCAGTGACCACAGTGTTTGTAGCAGCATAATCATTAACCACAGGTATAGTTTTCAAAGCATTGTTATTCGATTCATAATCGTCACGATCCCCAGCACGTTTGCACCATTCCTTTTTATCAAGCAACCACTTTTGTATTTTTTGCTGTATTTCTTTATTATTGTGCATTTGAGTTTCAAACCAGGCATTTTGTTTTGACCTTTCATCCTCGGGTATTAATGATTTTAGTGATTTCTGCAGCTCTGTTGCTTCAACACTCAGTTTTAAAATCATTTCATACTTTGCCTCCACTTCAGAAACAGTTTTGTTTGAAAGCACCAGTTGTTCCACTTCCTTTATTAATTTGTGAAGTTTCTTTACCTTGTAATTTCTTTCCTTTTGATTTGACATTATTTTTGTCTCCAATGCTTTTACTTTAAGTTTAACCGGTCTTTTCTCCGTTTCACTTTGATTGACAGGTGCGTTAATTTCCGCGTCACTCATTTTGATTACTCTTGTAAACAGCCAAAGTTTTATTAAGAATTGCAGCAGGATTAAGATTTTAAAGGCGATTAAGAAAGGTGTAAGATTTCTTCGCCCAATGCGCCTGCGTATCAAATAAACGGAAGTAGTATGTGCGGGAAACGGAAGCTCTGAAGTCCTTTCTGCTCCGCGACTTCCATCATGGTTAGTTCGCCATGAGAGTTTTAGAATTTCTAAGTCGAATTCCTCTGAATATATGTTATCATTCTGGGTCAAACGGTGTCGTTAGTGTAGTTAACACATTAACAAGCGTATATACGACGTGTTGAATAAGTGAATGTTAATATATTTTGAGTTTTACGGTGTGTCGGCTGTCCCCCGTACAACAACGTGGTGACTGCTTGGTTAGGAGAGCAAGGCCCCTACGGAACATACTCGACAATGCTTTCAAGAAGTTGCTTAATTTTAATAGATTTTGTCTTAAATTAATTTCAATTCGTTCCGTTTTAATCCCTTTGGCCGGGAGATATCATAAACAGTATGCTAGATAATGCTAGCTAGTCGAAGCTTGCGTGTTAGCTGTGGCTTTTCAGCGCTCACGCTACGGTGTTTTATAGCCGGCTGTATTCACGGTAGGTAAGTGTCTTTTTATAACTGTCTATTGTTGTTTTTCTTCAGGTGTTCAAGCGCTTCGTTGAGATCGGCCGTGTTGCCTACATCTCTTTCGGACCCCATGCTGGCAAGCTGGTGGCCATCGTAGATGTTATTGACCAAAACAGGGTGAGTTGCCTTCATGTGTTGTCGGATAATCAGTTTTCAACTTTTTTTTTTTTTGACTTTTCGGTAACAATGTGATGATGTGTCCTGGTCTTTTCAGGCTCTTGTTGATGGCCCCTGCACCGGCGTGAAGAGGCAATCGATGCCCTTCAAGTGCATGCAGCTCACAGACTACGTCATCAAAGTACCCCACAGGTGGGTGTTTGCTTGCAGGGATCAAATCTCAATTATCTTATGAAAGATTCCACACATGGGATGCATTTTCATGGCTTAATTGAGTAGATAAGTAAGGGGTTTCCCTTACATTTAGCCCCTCACAAGATCTGACTGATGCTGAAAACAACTTGTGTATTACTGGAAACACCATGTGTACTGTATTAGTCTAAAGCAGTTAAAAGATGTTCATGTATACAAACTGTTCTGTTTTGTCATTAAAAGCAACTCATCCTTAAATGACAATGAACTGCAGAAAATGTTTAGAGTTGTCTTTCATTGTAAGCTTAGACTGGTTAGTGTTCGGGCTTAAGAAATGTAAGTGCATGTTCATGCAACCGTGAATGACGGAGATCTTGTGTTAAGAAATGAAACCTATGACTGTGATCATATCCCCAAATAATGGACCTTAAAGTGCAGGGAGGAATATGGTGTCAACTTTTTCTATGAAAGATTGGTGTAGTTTCATTAAATGATGGAGATTCTTCTATCATTCCTACTTACTGCATGTAATTGTTCACAGTGCTCGCCAGAAGTTTGTGAGGAGAGCCTGGGAGAAGGCCGGAGTCAATGAGAAGTGGGCTCAAAGCAGCTGGGCCAAGAAGATCGAGGCAAAACAGAAGGTAAAAGCAAAGTTTGTCAATATAAAAATATTAATGAAACAGCAGGTCATCAGTGTCAATGTGTTTGCTCTGGGAGGTCCGGGAGTGGGAGGGGAGACACTGCACAAAGTGTGTTTGGCTCTATACTGATGATTATTTAGCTCATACTGACAGCACATGACATGTTTTGTGTGATATATTAAGTAAATTGGGGAAACCACACTAAATACATGATGCAGGTAATTTGAGAAAAATGTTAACTATTGGATGCAGTCTACATTTTCCTTTCCTGGTGACTTCAAAGTGGAGAAAGTCTGAGATGCTTACTGCACTTCCGCAAAACAGTTTTCTTACCTCTGAACACGTGTATCTGTACTGCAGTTAGGTATAGACAAAATAGAACTGATATAGTTCAAAGTACTACCAATTTATGTCATTAAATTTAACTGTATTTAGAATTGAACTGTCAGTAAAAGTGTACTCTGGTTGTTTCCCTCATTGTATTCTTGTGGTTTTCTTGCAGAGGGCCAAAATGTCAGACTTTGACCGCTTCAAGGTGATGAAGGCCAAGAGGATGGTAAGTAAATCACATAATTTAGCAGGTTCTTAAATGCTAGAGCAGTAGGCCAATGACACTACATAACCATAACTCTTTAGTAGGAAAATACTTTTAAGACTACTGATTTTTTTTTTTCAAGGTTCTGTATTTTTCAGTAAAAAAAAAAAACTTCACCAGAAATGGACGCTGCCATTAATCATTTTTCCAGTGAATTAGCTGATTCAGCCACACATTTCTAAACAAACTAGCGTCCCACTGCTGCAGATGCATTTGTACCGGCCAATGTGTCACATCAGAGCGCCCCCACAACAGTCTGTCAAACGCAGGAGAGAGAAGCAGCAGCTTTACAAAAAGACATTTTATACGTACCGTATTTTCCGCACTATAAGGCGCACCGGATTATAATCCAACATGCCCGGCTCCCTCTCGTCATTATCCGAGTCAGTGTCGCTGAGCGCCGTGTACAACCAGTATGGATCAACCAATTAACAAATTGATCCATATATAAGGCGCTCCGGATTATAAGGCGCACTGTCGTTTTGAGAAAATTAAAGGCTTTTAAGTGCGCCTTATAGGTCGGAAAATACGGTACTAGTATTGTTCAGACATGTAACTGCCATGTGGCAGATAGCCCCTCTGCAAGGAAAGCACTTGCCAGATGGGAAATCTACCCACATTTGGCGCTTGGCAGGTGTCACTTAGGACCCTGCTCTCTGTATAGTTTTTAGCTCAGGCGCTGTAAAAGACGCTTAGATTGATAGGGGTGGATTTCTTACATAAATATTGTTGATTGCCTCTTGAGGCCATTTCTAAAATATATGGATGCAAAAATACTTCCTGTCTTGCTTGCTGAGGCAGACTTTTTTAATCTGGTTATAGACTGCTGTGTTGAATAGCATTGGAGCCTTTTCACAAATGGTTGACTAGACAGATACAGCAAATAGAAATTAATGAGGGGTCAGTAGGATTTAATTGTGCCAGTGGGTACGCATTGACAAAAGATGATGTGGTTGTCCAATTATCACTCTTGGGATGCAAATAAAAAGTGATTTAAAAAAACATTCAAGCTGCAGCATAACCTGCTTTTAATGATGCTTAATTTTGAATGGTTTATTAGTCTATATACAGTTTCTTAATTAATACATTTACTCTTTTAATCCACAGAGGAACAAGATCATCAAGCACGAGGTGAAGAAGCTGCAGAAGGAGGCAGCAAAGAAGTGAACAGTTTTACAAAATAAATCTGTTTACTGTTCATCACTGTCTTCTCTTCTTTGTCCACTCGGCACCATATCACTTCTGGTGTAATGAATCATCATGAATACACGTAATGAATGGAAATGAAAAATTTATGTAAAGCATTTTTTATAATGTCTGCAGTAGTGTTCACCGTGCTGCATGTAGTCTGAAGTTGGTTGTTTCATTCAGGGCCCAGGAGCATGCAAGTTACTCAAAGTACTAACCAAATTCTGAGTCAGGACATTTTCTAAGAGTTTCTCCTAAAAGTTCAGACTAGATCCTGGTAAAGATGAAAGTTATTCATATAGCATCTTGGCACTAATGAGAGCTCCTAAGGTATAACTCTGTTAGGAGTAGTGAGGAGGACTTCTAACAGGATTAAGAGTTTCTCAAGCTGAGGAGAGAAATTAAATGTTCTGCAACCACTGCATGAAGAATATTGAATCATAGCTGGGCCGAACAGACACAAAGGATTTGAGCTGACAGTTCAATCTGTCAATGACTTATTTCAGTACAAAGGGAGTCCTGCATGTTGTGTTTCTCTACATGTGGTTTCCTGTACCGGTGCATTCCTAATAACACCTCTTCACATGCTGAAATAACTTAAGAAGCTGCTAAACACGTGGGCATGTGATTTTAAACATCTTGTAGGCTATATATGTTTGCAGTATGAGTTACAAATTATTACACATACTATTTCATAGTGTTTATAATTACACCATTTCTGACTAGATTCTGTTTGACTTTCTTCTAAAAGAACAATCACAGCTGGAAAAAAAATGGTCAAACCTAGCAACGGGGTCAACCACACCTCAATAAAATACAAGTTGTCTCTTCCTTTCCTTAGAGTTGCTCTAAGAATGTTCCTAAATCACTCCTAGGCTAAAATATCCTTGCTAGGATTTTTTTTTAAAGCTAAGTTAGGAGCTCTGAGAGGATTCTCAGAATATTTGTGAATACAGGCCCAGGTGCTTCTCTGCTGATGTAGTGGAAGTAGACCTCTCCACTTACAGATGTGAGGGATTTCTGTTCAACAAGCAGGAAGCCTAATAGTTTGTGCTCACAGCAAGTTTAAAAGAAGAAACAGAAATGTAAATACACTTACTGTTGCCCCACCTAATGCCCTTTGAAATTTTAACATGATATAATTTCGTATACAGGTTTTAGAATACAAATCACTTTAATGGTTTCTGTAACCCTGTGCAGCTCCCAGAATATCCAGTAGACTTTTGCTCTTGAATTTTACTAAATGTGATAATTATATTTAACAACTTTGCTCTACCAGGTCCGTCTTTGGCCTGTGACTTAAAGTATATTGATCAGAATTTCGGATTTATTTAGAATCCACTTAATTGACTGTAACCACATATCTGGCACCATTTCAACGGAGTGTGTGTTTTTTTTTTTTATTTGAACAAGGAGGGGAATTATTTTATAGAGAGCATTTAAAAAAAAAAACAAGTAGTAGTTTCTTGTGCATGGACATTTCATTGACACATCCACCAGATGGCAGTGTGACATACTAATGGACCCTTGCCCTTTTTATTTTTGCACGAATAGGTCCATTTTCAGGGTTCACGGTTGATGGGAGTCTTTTGAACGCAGTCATAAATCCTCCATAGAGTGTGAACTACATAAAACAGTTTTAAACAGTTAAAAAAAAAAAGAAGAAAAAAAAAAGCAACCACTGATGTAGGCTATCTTAAGATTTACAACCAAACAGTAGGGGTACCTCTATCTTCACTTGAAACAAATGATTAAAACATATTTCAAATAGAGCACACGCAGCTTGCAGCTCAGAACCAGCAGAGCGCCAAACAGGCTGTGCCTCTCATATCAGAGAGAAGCTTGTAAATATTACATAACAAGACACTTGAACGTTGCCCAGCTGGTTGTGTGGAGAGAGAGAGAGCAGGAATACAGTCCATGCCATCACACCTCCGGACAGACCACTTCACCATTCCTCCCTGGTAGCTCCAGAAATGAGGTGGTGGATGGGTGGGGGTGTACTAAGCAGTCTGTGAGCTTGCTTGATTGTCTGTAGATTTAGGCCTAAGCTGTAGAAGCTGATAATGGCCCATTGTTCTTTTCTAGCCTGAGCTGTGCACACAAACCAATTTATCTTTCATCCCCAACAACTGTTTTTTTGTATTTTTTTTGTATGAAAGGCCTTAAAGTAAGGTCCAAAGACGAACACATGTCGGGCAAATATGTGTAATACAAGGAACATTGTGTGTTATTGTCATGGGGCCTGATAAACACGCTTCTCTATTAGCGTAGTTCTGACGTCAGAGATGAATGGCACCGATGCGCAGTGATAATAGAGCTGTCAACAACTAGGAACCAAACCGGAAACAGTTACATTTTCCTTCAAAATAAAAGCATGTCACATAAAGCAAATCAATTTTATATCCCTTATGGCATTATAGTGCTACAGTGAATCTGATCCGGACATTTTCAATGATCTTGAAGAAATAATGACTTAACATTGTGGCCATTGTTCATTGCCTGAACAAATACATGTAACTTGTGGAAGTGGAATTGAAAATTTGTCAAAAAGTTCAAGTTCGAGAATTCAAACGCTTTTTCATAGCTAAATCCTTGTAATTGTTAGACATTGATGAAATTTTTAAAGACATTTTTAAACATTGTTAAAAAATACTCTTATTTTATCCTCAAAGAAATGTCAATTTCCCCCCCAGCCTTTAAAATAAAGGACCAAAATATTTAGAAAACGAGTAAAATGTTCGCACACTGAGTGGATAAAAAGGCCTATCTGTAAATGTGTTTAATTTACAAAAAACATGAAGGTTAAAACACGTAAAACAAGAAACAAGATGTATTATAATAACATTTTAACTTACTTACTTTTAACTCACCACAAATGACTTCCTCTTTAACTTACTCGGTGTTAAAGTACCAAAGTCAACAACTTACTCATTTTTAAAACTGTTTAAATAACAAACAAAAGCATCACATCACCTTACAGCTAATAGGTAGGCCTACATTTTAGTCACTAAAAGCTAAGTCTATGCTTTTATGTTGAAAGGCAAACATCCTGTTATTTCCTGCTACAGCTGCATGTTTGACGCATTTGAAAGCGCAAGAGAGAGAAAGAGGGAGGCTGAGAGTTGACAGTGTGACAGACTTTCTCGGGCACTCATTGGAAATACCTTCGGCCGGGTCGCTGTCACAAGGTGCCAGCTGCGTGTTTAACGAGACTCCGGAGGATTTCAGCCTCGTTGAGAGACCCGCCGCTCACCGCCCAGAGCCCTGCACCCTCCCAGCAGCTTTAAAAGGGAACAAATAGGACGAGTGGCGCTGCTTCAGATTCCTCTCTGGTAAGTAGGACTGATGTAGTGCTTGCAGGCTGATGGTGTGGGCCCGCGTAGTAGCCTAATGTGTGTCAACTTATCAGCCGGGCTCCGTCAGATTTCAGCAGGGGGGGACTTTTACTCTAATGCGCATCCTTCGAGGTGCATGTTATGGTGCTGTCCGGACCTTGTGTGCTGTTGGCGCAGGCTGCTCTGCACTGTCATGTTATTGTGGATGCGGCCAGCAGGCATGTTGACAGTGGAGGGGGGTGTGCAGCAGCGCTTATGCAGAGAAATGCAATTGGTGTAGACTGGTCAGCACTGCATGAACACAACAATCCTTTAATATGATTGATATAGGCTTCTTAAAGTGTCCATGTGGCACTACACAAGCGAGATTACAGTGACTTCCTAATGGTGTCCCATCCTTATTATAGGCTAGTCCAACAATAACTGCGTACAAAGTAAACATCTAGTGGTCTCACTATAATATCCTGAAGTGGTGTCAATTCAATTCCAGAAATATTTCCATTCAATCCCAGAAATATTCCTTTACAGTGGACTGGTTTTCATCATGTCTTGGGACCCCTTGAAGGGATTGAAAGTGCACTTGAGATTATAAACACAGGTCAGTAGGACCACAATGATGCTAATATGTTGCAGGCTTTCCTCCAACCTTTGCTTTTTTTTAATTTTTTTTTATTTGGGGTAATTGGAAGGCGTGTTTAAGATAATCTTTAAGGCGGCTTATTAGGCTGAATTGATAAGAACTGGTTTAAGTGGTCACATATCCTCAACTGTTAGAAACCCTTGTCTTATCAAAGGCTACCAAACACTTCTACATGAAGGGAGAATTTGAATTGCAGACAAAATGAATGTTTGCTATAATACTAACTTTGGTATCTTTGAAACACAGTGTCATCTTAATCAGGAGAATTTGGTCAGTGATTTTCCAGTTTAACAGAGCCTCGATAACGCCCGTTCATATCTCTTACATTCCGGGCTTTTAGAGTGGAGCGGTTATCGTAACAGGTCCTTGACCTCATATATGTGTTTCTGTGTACACAAGCACTACTGCCTAGTAAATCAATACACCCCAGCACCTTGAACAGTTACACAACCTTGAAGTGTTCATGACTGCAGTGTGACAGGTCTGAGGACTCCTTGGCCATCAACATACCGAACAGTTTTTCACAGCAAATGCAATTTGGAACCTTGTAATTTTGCACATCCCTTTACACCAATCAAGTGATCACACAAACACTCGCGTAAGGTAAAAAAGGAGGTTTAGATTTAAGCAAGCAAACCCCTGTTTGACCACGCTTCATGACTAGACTAGACTTTGGTCTCATCGAACCTGCCCTGTCAGTCTAAGTAGCGAGTAGAGCTGTCTGCAAGTTTGCACTGTGTGTGTTTGTTTCCGTGTGTCTTAATTTATGGCTTTTTTTTTTTTTTTATATCAACACTTCGATGTTGTGAGTGTGAGGCGAAGACTTCAGTGTAATTCAGATGACTTTCGTGTCTCTGTTTGTGCGCAAGAGAGCGAGACAGAGCAGAGACAGATTGAGATGTCAGCCTCCTATTATAAGAAAAATGACTCACTCTTTTCTCACAGGTACAATCGTCTCTAACTGAAGATCACATAAAAAAAATAAATTAAAAAAAATAAGAGCTTTTTAGGCTTTCAAAGTGTCGTTTAAGTAT